TGAACATGAAAACAGGATGCCTCGTGCAAAAGCCTGCTGAAATCGGGGTAATGATATCATACAGAACAATGCTAGCGAAACCGATTAGTTCACAAACACCTAATGCTTTCACAACTCGATTTCCACTAGCAAAGAATCGTCACAAGCCGTTAACTCTTCAGATATTAACAGCACCGCAAACAAATCACAGAACCATATGGAAATGGGATTGGAACTCTCTACCCAGATAAGACTTCGATCGCAAAAACCCAAAAACGAATCCGAGAAGGGGAGCTCCTAAATCATTCAAAGTCTCACCTGAGTGACAGTTTTGCCATGGGCGTAGTGAAGGAGCCCAGAAGGATGAGTCTTCTCGTAGTGGAGCTTGTACTTTCCCTCCGGCGTCTTGAAATACGTCTTGATTCCCGGAGTCTGAGGGTTCACCGGCGCCGCTGAAGACGAAGACGGCGCCGAGATCATGCCATTCGAAGAGTTCATCATGGTGGCCGCTGCTTTTTTTCTATTCCTCGACGACCCAATAGCATCTGATCATGACCCCTAGGGTTTTTTTCCCCTTCACCCTCCCTCGAATCAAAAACCCAGAAATCTCCCCCTTTATCGCCTCTCTCCCTCGACGCAATTCGCCAATTCAGTTGCAAAATTCTCGCGAAGCCAAAACGAAAAATCGCAACTTTTTCTTCTGGGTCTTTTTCGGGTCTCTAATGGCTACCGGATCAAGATGGGTTATTGCGATTGTGATATGCACTTCTCTCTCCGGTTCTATATTTCGTCTCCTTTCTTTTTTTTCTTTGTTCTTTTTAATTAAAGGTTTGACTAGGAAGGAGATCAAAGTCACTGCAATCAACGGTGGAGATCGGTTTATGGGTTTAGAAATTCAACGGCTAGAGATGCTGCATCCATATGGGCCAAGGTAGTGATTATGTATTGGGCTTAAGGCGCTGACGTCACGGCCCATAAATAGGGCCCACTATAGGCCTTTTTCATAATCAGGGAGGCATCTGATGCCACGCCATGTTTGGTCTACACAGTACTGTCAAACGAACAAAACATTTATCACATTTAATATTTCACAACTCATGTCTGGTCTAATACTTTTTGGATATGCCTTAACTATGTTTAGGGCCTTAATTTCCTTAATAATCGAGATCCCTGCAAACAAGAAGTGTGCCATTTTTGGTGATTGATGCCGATTAATGGTATAAAATTCATAATTTTATGTTGTATTTGTCAGAAGATTAAGTTTTACTAATCAACTTATGTGTACATGTACCAATAACAAAAAAAATACAAAATACAAAATAAAATGACAAGATAAAAGTAGTGATAGACCATGCCAAAATGTTAGTCGCTTAAAATTTTTTTTATCTGATATTAGTCGTTTATATTTATATTCGATTTTTTTTGTGTGGTTTAAAAATACTATAACCATTCAATTTTTATATTAAATTGAATTTAAATTTGTCTTGAATTTATTTTTTATATTGATAAAAAATACTCGATTTTTAAAAAAAATAGTTTTTTAATTATTTTTTATTTAATTCCGTTCGAATTTGATTTTTTTCGGTTTGAAAATAATTATAACTATTCGGTTTGATAATAAATTACATTTTATTCTGATCAAGCTGATCATTCTAATTAGATCCCATGTTCTGTTAGAACCTTGGCATTTTTTTTCTTTTATAAAAAAATCAATGAATGGGATTATCGATTATATATTTTTTAAAATTAACAATTAGTAAATGATGTTTTATTTATTTATTTTTTAAACAAAGTGCAAAAGCAAATGGTGGCACACACCACACGGGGGCATGATATGTTCACACGCCTCCTTTTGCGAGCTTCCTTCTATACTTCCTTCCGGCCTTTTCCACGTATCCCCGACCTCCACCTGTCGGTCAAAAATCTCCTTTTCCTAATTTTTATTATTTAATTTCATCTGATTTTTTTTTTCCCCAATTATCTCATCTCTGCCATTGATGTGTATGTCGGTATCCAAATTACAAACTCCAACATTATCCAAGTATATATATATTTTTTTCATTTTGTTCTTTTTATTAACCACCATTTGATTCTAAAACACATCCTCATTTATATATATAACAGTTTAATTATATTTATTATGAGCAAAGTTTAGCATTCTATAGTTTTAAATAAATCTATTTCTTTATATGTTCATAGAGGATGATATTATATACATATATATATTTGATTCTTATAAATCACCATTTGATTCTAGATATATCAAACGGTTTAACTATATTTATAATGGGGAGTTTATAATGTAATAAAGAAACCATAGGAAAGTTAATTATTCCATTATCGATTGGTGGTTTGCAACGATTTTTTTTTTTTTTTGGAATATTGTTGTATGATTTTTATTGATAGATGAGAGAGTGCATATAGGTAGATTTTGTATTTAATATTTTATAACCTAATTGACAATATCCTTTTATTTTGATCGATAATATTTATCTTAATATAGTTTGATCTGAAAATAAAAAAAACTCCAATATTATAGTTTGTCTGTGACATGGTGGTATCCAAAATTGTCTCAAACAATAAAAGTAATATATTTGAAATATTTTCAGTATATAATACAAAATAACTATAAAGTAAATATATACTATGGATTTTCTGTGGCTATGAACCCATGCCAGATGCATAATTACAAAATTTCTTCACATGTTATATATATTACCTTTGGTATCGTATAAAATAACTGTTAGTGGTGGTCCAAATGATTATGAACGAGAATTCTTTGGAATCTTTGCAAAGTTTTCACATGTACACTCGAATTGCATCAATATCCCATATTTAACATGAAACAAATGCGTGTAGATTTTTGTTGAGATTTTCATTTTATTTTATTTTTTGATATTGTTGAAAGTTGAAACGATTATATTAATATCTAAGCATTTCCAATCAATTACACAAAATTTAAAACATATAACTAACTAACTGTGTCCTAACCAAATCTTTTATAGAAACAATTATTTAAAATCGAAAATTCAGCTTGAATCAAATATAAAATTAATTAAAAATATTGATTTTTTAAAACAAATATTTTTATAAAGGAAAAAATTGAACCGATAGAATGTGGAGATTGAATTGTTATAACTTTTTTAAAATAAAAAAATTAAACCCGAGATGACCTACTCTCTATCTATAATTATAAAGAGTTTTACTTGGTTTTCGTTTTAATAACACTTTACTTTTGTAAAAATAAAGATATCAATAAAAAGTAATTTTTTTATTTAGGTAAAAAAAATTTATGGTTTACTAATACACCGAGACAGGTTTTACCGGTAGCCGGTGAGGATGGTCAAAGGCGGAGTTAATTTTCCCTTCCACTTATTTCCTGCAACGTACTCAACCGCTTTTATTTCCTTTGTTTTTTTTTTCGTTTCTTTAAATTTCATCGTCTCTCTTTGCCGAACTAAAGCACAAACGAAAAGGAAGAAATTTATTTCACATTTTCGTTCTCTCTCTAAAACGTCTCTCTCTCTAAAAAGATTCACGAATTCTTCTCCTTGTTTTCGTCGATCGTTAACCCCTCGGGCGAGGTATGTGTGCCTTCTCTTATGATCGTCGCTTTGTCGCCTAGCTGATGATTCTGTTTGTATGTGTATACGTGTATATGTGTGTGTATATATGCTGAATCGCTCGACGAATCTGTCCTGATTTCGGTTGTTTTTGTGCCCGATCGTCGTTTGCTTTGTTTGTTTGGGACTGTGTGATCGTTGTTTGCTTCTGTGGGAATATTCCGGTTATTTTCCGGCCGGCGGATGAAGGAAAAGGACTGCGGTGACTTTTGGTGACTTTTCCTGCGATCTTCGGTCATGATCGCGGTCGTGGTCGTGAATCGGTTGGTTTTGGTTGCTTTGATGTCTGTCTGAGTATAACGGATTTGATGTTTTTGTATATTTGTTGGTTCGTTGTTCCTTTCTCGTTATTTGCTCTGGGTTCTGATGTTTCAAAGTTGCGAAAGAAGTGACCAAATAATCGATTAATGTCTGTTTTGACGGCGTTTACTCTCAGCTTTGTGGGTTGAATGGTTGTCGGTTATGTTGTGTTTTGGTGATGTTTCATATGCCACTTAGGCGTCAGGGTAAGATAGTTAGTTCTGGGTATAGTTAAACAGTTTCCTAATAGCATCAACTAGGTGTAGCTGGTTTGTATCCTGCAGGTTTAGGGGCAATGGTGATTTCTCACACTATCCTACTTTTCTCGACCACCAACCTCGGGTAGATGAGAAACTCAGGGAAGCCTTACCCGTGATCCAAATGTTTGGGAGATTTGGGGAAGTAATACAACGATAGATTCAGGTCAGAATTTCACCCTCCTTTGCTCTGAATTCAGGAGTTTTCTAACTAATGAACTCTAGCATCATCCTCTTCATTCTCAGGCTCATCACTAATTTACCCCTTTCGCAACAGATGCAAAACCTCCTTGTGCTAGCACTTGTAGCATATAGGATCGGTGGGTGGCCTTGACATGTCATTCAATTTGATATTCTGAATGACAAATGCTATTACAGACACGGGTTTATTGGGAAATCGAGGTGAAACTGAACTCAGATTCGCTATCTGAAAATATTAGCATGGTTGGCTCTACTGGTGACGTTATAATATGGTGAACATGACAAAGGAGCAAGTTATATGGTCGTCTTCTGGAGTTGTGAATTGTGATGTTAGCTTCTCTGGCTCTTTAGGCAAGTGTTTCTGTGGTGTGAGGTACTTTCCTCGTACAGAATTGTTTCTTTATGGAAGGGAGCAAAGTAAAAAACCGCTGCTTAGCGCTGATGTCATGTGTGTACATAAGATGTGTTATCCATTAAGACGTGCTTCAAGTCGCTTACTTGGTAGTCCAAAACATTGTAGAGAGTTCGATCTACCTGACAGCAAAGCATCTATATCCTAGAGGGACTTGTAGGGTGACTTTTTCTTCACATACAAATATTTCAGCTGGATGGTTGTTGATGCAAACCATTGTGATAGATTGATAAGAAGCATCCTGTCAGAAATCTTCTGACAGTTTTCCCTAGCCTTTGAACTATAGGTTGGAAGACATGGAGGCTATTAAGGTGCAGTGCCTTGATCTGTTTCCAATAAGAGTGGCAAAAGAACACATGGGTGGTTTAACCTTTGATTGGCTAGCCTTTTATGGATGAAAATACATTCCCCTAAGGAGCTGTAGTGTACTCATTTATGACAATGGACCTGCAGAGAAAAGACGTTGCATTGGATCCAGGTTGTGTTAGTGAACTCGACGGTGCAAATGCTTCCAGTTACTCAATCAAGCATTTTGACCTTTCCTCTTCGGTAGCAGTAGTGATTTCCATGTGGTTCTTGAAGCATCACCTCCATATTCTGCGCATTCTTAGAAGACAATTCGCATTGTTGGGATGTTTGACCTTTCCTGTATACTTGTAGGGTTATTTGTCAGCAAGACACTAAGAGGGATTTAGCATTTAGGAACCATTTAAAGCTTCTGTTCTGCAATTTGAGATTGTAAATTTCCCTAGGGTAAATGGCTGTCAATGATTGTAATGAAAGAAATCAAATGAGACCTGTACTAGATACTGCAGAGTCATGCTATATATAGTGTCAGTGGCAGGGAAAGTTATATGGCCTTATTTTATTTTTGTTTGAGTAGAGAGGCTATCTTTTCTGTAAATGAATCTAAATTTCCTCAAAATCTGGAGGACAAATGCAAGCAGAAGTTACATCATATGTTAGAGACTTCAAATATTGCTTATGCTAATACCTTTTATTGTGGAAATCTTGTGATTATTTCCCATCCTGCTTTAACCTGCCCCTGTTCTCAACTGGGTTTATAATTATAACATCTACATGCCTTGTTGAGAATTCCGGAATTGGGTGTTTTATGTGTTTTTGCCAAATGACATGTTAACTCCATCTTGTGCTTGAATGCTTTGAGAAGTTCCTCTTAACCTGATGGGTTAGGTTCACAGAGGCAAACCTGAGGGATTCATCGGATTCAGAGGCTTCTTAGCTATTGAATCTCATTTGTTTGATCTTGCTTCTCTTGGCTTGTATTTTTAATATTTTTATTTAGCTTTCATTGATAAAATTGATCTGTAAGTTCTTTTATTAATAATACTATCTGCAAAATTTCATGGCTAACAAATTGCTCTATAGAAGTTTAAATGTATGTTATCTGTTAGTGTTATGAAATTCTGCTGCAGCACAGACCCTGACTCCATCAGAAGCTATTTGCATATCATTTCATTAGCTCTGAGTTACAATTTGGTAGGTATTGAATCAAAGGTAATTGATACTTGAGCTGGAAACTGTAGACTTGCTAACTATGATTCTTTCAGTGGTTTTATATTCTCAAATGGTTCAGGCTTATGTTCTCTTGATAGAATCGTTTAAATTGTTCTAGGATTTCTTTTCTAGTATTTCACAATGCACTTTATCTGCCTACCTAATTGGTATGATCTTGTAGGAGTGGTTTCTGAGTTTTTTTTAATCATTGTTTGTACGTGGTTCATCTGTAAGGAATATCATTTATGAGAAAACTGAGTTTGCTCGCGATTAAGTGAAATATCTATGCCTTTTAGTTTTGAAATTTTTATGAACTGCTTATGTGAATGTTGAGAACTTGTCTTCTGTGCAGGTCGATTTTGGGTTCTAGATATCTATTAAAACCACTTATTAATAATGGGGCATAGGCATTTGGTTGGCTCATCCCAAATGCTTGACGATGAACATGATCAGGGCTGGAGTCATGTACATACTGAACAGCATTATGCAAATCTAGGTACGTTATTACTTTAGCTTGATATATGGCTATCTAGGCTGGTGATAATTAGGGGAATTAGGAAAAAAAAGTTTATTCAACTTGCATTAATACTCATGATGATCCTTTGTTATGGAACATTTCCAAATTCAATGACTAATACCTCCAATATTTATTCAGCAAGATCTGGGACCAATGACAGCAGATCATATGTTTATCCAGTCGAAAACATGGCCAGTGAAGGGTTGCCCTTCTCTTCTCATTGGAACTCTTCTCCACGACCAAATGGCTACATGTCCTCAGGTCACGGTCTTGAGAGACCACACTATAACTCAGAGGCTTCAGGTCCATCTCATGATCCTTTACTGACTTCATCAACAGTTGCATCCTTCACTGCTCCACCAGAAAATTATGTGCCCTATGCATCTTCTTCGAACTACAACAGCCAGACATGGCCAAATGGAAATTGTGTTGATCTATCAATGGCCAATGTGAGAGGGGCACAGAAGCGGAAAAGCCCTTGTGCTTCTTCCATTTGTGAAAGAGGCAGTTCAAGCCAAGACAACGGAGATAGAAGTTCCTCCGACATTCCTTTACCCTCCGAATTGCACATGGAGAAACCGATAATTGGTCCTCATTACATGCCATGGGATCATCTTCCCATGGACCCATCTTACAGAAGCAATGGTCTCTTGATAAGGGGTGAAGGTTCATCGAGGAATGTCAGAAGTCGTCCTGCATTTGATTTAGAGACCAGCTTAGCTAGGAATCATTTGCCAAACAACCCGGGTCTCGGTTCCCATTCTACAGCCCACTTTATTGACCATTCTGTCTCAGGTGATTTTCCTGCTCAGACATCTCAAGCTGTGAGTAGGGAATGGAACTGTTCTCGGCTGTCTCCTGCTCCCAGAGGTAAGCTAACTTTAAAATTATCATAAATTTGCCTCAAGTTTCCCAATCACCTCTATCTCACTCTGCCTTTGGTGATTGCTGTTCTGATCATGCAGAGATAAATGGCTTTTGTCCTGAGACGAATAACTTTCTTCCTGGGAGAAGTGTTACCAACAACGCACCCATTGAAACATCTGGGTTTCATCATGGAATCACAAACAGGCATTCCATAGTTCCCCAGAATTTTCCCGGTACCTCAACACAATCTGCAAGCAGCGGTCGCGGCAGTTATTCTCATAGATCAATCCCTACGTATAGAGCTTCTTCAAGTGGTCTCAGGCTCGGACATATAGCGCCTCCCGATGAAAGGTCTCATTTGGTAACTGAAACTTATCCTTCTAGGCATCTAAGGCCATTACCCCATGTCTCATGGCGTAGCAGTGACCGCTCTGGTAGACGTAGGAGTTCATATGAGAGATTTCATCAGCCACATTTCGATGAATCCACCCTCCATGATCGGTTTTCGTCTGAGGTATACTATTTCTTTCAAACTCTATTTTATATACACATATATACAGGTTATTGGATGAAGTGAATTATATCAACTAAGAAGATTTCATGTTAAACTTTTCTCTTGCTTTACTGAATTGTTTCTTTTTGTCTTTGGATAAAATGGAAACAGGGTTTCATGGTTGTGGACCGGGCAGGCTACTACGCATCCGGAAACATATTTGACCAGCACAGAGACATGAGGCTCGACATCGATAACATGACATATGAGGTTCACTACAACCATTTTTCTTGTTTTGATCGTTAAATTACACGTTCACGTAAGTTTCTAACTACGACCCGTTTGCCGCAATCAGGAGCTACTCGCTCTGGGGGAAAGGATAGGGAGCGTGAACACGGGTCTCTCCAACAATGCAATCGACAAGTGCTTGGAAGAGACGACATATCTATCGTCGCATCAAACTGAAGAACAGAGGTTATGCGTCATCTGCCTGGTAAGAACCCTCTCCCTTGTCTGATACTGGTGAATTCCGGGTTCTATTGTGTCATCGTTTATCCAACGGGAGAGATCGTATGTGTACGTAAATATAACATGTTTAAAAGGGCATAAGAAACACCATTCATGTATTTTTAGAGATTAAAGTTGCTGCTTTTAGATATTTCTCCTAGAGTTAGGGGTGGACACAAGTTGGTTCCGAGTTCTCCGTTGTACCCAGCCTCAGTCTCGTGGTGATTGGGTACCCGAGCTTCGAGTACCCATGGGGTGCGACGAGGGCTCGGATACCCCGTGGAAAAATTGAACTGAGATAGGTCGGAGGGGATTGAAGGAGAGATGGCCGAAGGTCTAAAGTTAGACTCATAATCGAAAAGGTTTGGGAGAAATATTTACCCTGATTTTCTTGTAATTATTAAGAAAACAGGGGTAAATCGGTCTTTTGTTCCAGTATACGGGTATCCTTGCCTTGGTAACCCTGTCTCGGCTCGCAAACTCGCACCCAAACCTGAGGTTCGAGTTTCCCGTGCCATTCCCCACCCGAGCTCGAACTCAATGGCGAGAACTTGAATTTAGGGTCATTGTCTCATATATTCTCCTTTGAACCATTTATGTCATCTCATTTTTGTAGTCTTAAGATCTTATCTTATGTTGTTCAATAGGGTACAAAATGCAATATGCTAATGGAAAATTATCAAACTGGAAATCAAAACAGATTTAAAAAAATGGAAAAAAAAAATCAGTAGATGAATTCAAACATGTATTATACATAGTTCGTGTACTTAATTTCATTTTTTTTTTCTTCTGATGGGTGTTTATTATTTTAGGAGGAGTACAAGGAAAGGGAAGAGATAGGGAGATTGAAGGGATGTGGGCATGACTACCATGGAAGCTGCGTCAAGAAATGGTTATCAATGAAGAACTCATGCCCCATCTGCAAAGCCTCTGCCATTCCCGACCATTTGAAGAACCAATAGATATAATCATATGGTAACAAATTTATATATCCCCCTTTGCAGGACTCCCAATTTGTATATATTTATTTCGAAAAACGAAAGAAAAGTAGAATATGTTGGAAAAATTAAACAAATACTAGTTCTATTCTAGGTGGAAAAAAAGCCTTTTAGGACTGTTGTGATGGAGCCTCTTGAATCCTTTAGAATTTTCGTTTTCATGATGAATTTATTTTTGGAAAATGAATGAGCTTTCCCTTTTTGTGATTCATATTGTCGTTACAGAAACTTTAGATGTGTGTACTAAGCCGAAGGATGGATGGTGAAATTGTTGTATAACTTAGATTTTATTAATGTTTACAAATTGCCGATTTTAATTACGGATGAAATAGTTTAAAAAAAAAACAGAGAGAGAGAGAGAGAGAATTGTAGATAGTGGAAAAATAAAATTGTAATAATGTAATTATGAGGTATTTAAATGGGTTTGTTAGATTTTTATTATTGTTGTGGTCGATGATGTTTTCTTCAACTTTTGTTATTTCTTATTTTTGCTTTGTTTTTTCTTTCTTGGAGAAAGTTAATATATCTTTTAATATTCCTTTTTGCCCTTTTCTTTGCCACTCTCACTTTTTCTCACCAATCGAAAAACGTTCAGACAAAAAAACATAACCGTTGGAAGAAGAACCCACGTGGCGGTCAGCCTATCCACTTGTCTTCTTCATTTCACTCTTCCTTTGGATTCTCTCTTCCTCTTCCTTTTGTCCCATTCCTCTTCCCTTCCATCACTCCAAAGTAAAGCATCTCTCCCATTCCAAAACCCGTGATTTTCATCAACCAGATTCAATCCTCTCTCTCGATTTCAGTTTCACAATTCCATCTTCTCCAATGGGCATTCTCTGAAATCTCTGTTTCCAAATGTTGTCGTCTCCTCCATCTCTCCTCTTCTCTGTTTCTTTCTTCCTCCTCTGTTTCTGCCATTTCCATGGCGTTTCCGCCTTTGCCGGGACCGAGTTTGACTTCGGCACTCTTACTCTCACCAATCTCAAGCTCCTCGGCGACGCCCACCTCAGCAATGGCAGCGTCCGCCTCACTCGCGACGTCTCTGTTCCTTACTCTGGCGCCGGAAAAGCCTTCTACTCCAAACCTGTTCGATTCCGACAGCCTGGTACTCACTCTCCGGCGAGCTTCTCCACCTTTTTCTCCTTCTCCGTCACCAACCTCAACCCTTCTTCCATCGGCGGAGGGCTCGCCTTCGTCATCCCCCCCGACGCCGACACGATCGGATTCTCCGGAGGCTCTCTGGGTCTCGCCAGAGCCGACGGGTCGGGTTCCGGGTTCGTGGCCGTCGAATTCGATACCCTTATGGATGTCCAGTTCAAGGACATCAACGGGAACCATGTCGGCTTCGACGTCGACGGTGTCATTTCGTCTGTCACCGGCGATCTCGCTGCCGTCGAAGTTGACCTCAAGAGCGGCAACACCGTGAATTCGTGGATCGAGTACGACGGGTCGGGTCGGATCTTCAACGTATCGGTCTCGTACTCGAATCTGAAACCCAAATCCCCGATTCTGTCTTTCCCGTTCGATCTCGATCGGTACGTGAACGATCTCATGTACGTGGGTTTCTCCGGTTCGACTCAGGGAAGCACGGAGATGCACAGTATCGAGTGGTGGAGCTTCAGTTCATCATCCGGGTCGGGTCCGGGATCCGATTCTCTTCAGCCTCCGCCTCCGGCGACGGCCAATCTGGTGAACCCGACGGCGAACTCCGTGAAAACTTCTCCGCCTCCGCCGTCACCGTCGCCGCCGTCACCCGCCGCGAACTCGACCTCTGGCTCCAAATCTGAGACGGCGAAGCCATCTTCTTCGTGCCATAACGAGCTCTGCAAGGAGAACCCAGGAGCCGTCGCCGGCGTCGTGACCGCCGGAGCTTTCTTCCTAGCCATTTTCGCCGGAGTTCTGATCTGGGTTTACTCCAAAAAGTTCAAACGAATCGAAAAGTCCGAAACTTTCGCGTCGGAGATTATCAAAACCCCCAAAGAATTCACCTACAAGGAACTCAAAACCTCGACGAGGAACTTCAGCGGCAATCGGATCATCGGACACGGAGCCTTCGGGACAGTATACAAAGGGATCTTCCCGGAGACAGGAGAAATCGTCGCCGTCAAGCGATGCAGTCACAGCTCACAAGGCAAGACAGAGTTCATGTCGGAATTATCCATAATCGGAAGTCTCAGACACAGAAATCTCGTCAGATTACAAGGTTGGTGCCACGAAAAAGGCGAAATCCTGTTAGTTTACGATCTAATGCCAAACGGGTCACTGGATAAAGGCCTGTTCGAGTCACGAACGCCATTATCGTGGGATCACCGGAAAAAAATTCTGCTCGGAGTTGCTTCAGCTCTTGCTTACTTGCACAGAGAATGCGAGAATCAAGTGATCCATAGAGACGTTAAGACAAGCAACATTATGTTGGATGAGCATTTCAATGCGAGGTTGGGAGATTTCGGATTGGCCCGACAGATCGAACACGACAAAACCCCGGACGTGACAGTGGCCGCAGGAACAATGGGTTACTTAGCGCCGGAATATCTTCTCACCGGACGAGCCACTGAGAAAACAGACGTTTTCAGCTACGGAGCCGTCGTTCTCGAGGTCGTGACCGGAAAACGGCCGATAGAGAAGGACGTTGCGGCCGGCAATGGGAATTTGGTGGAATGGGTATGGGGTTTGTATAGGGAAGGTATGGTCTTGGAGGCAGTGGACCCGAGGCTCGAGGGCGAGTTCGACCAGGCCGAGGTGGCTCGGGTCGTGACCCTGGGCTTGGCTTGTTCCCATCCCGACCCAACGGAAATCACATGTGGTTTCACAATGCTCCCTTTGCATCTCGTCCTCTATGCAGCTCCCACAGCAACCACACGACCTGTTCAGTGCCTCGAAGCTCCCCTGTTTCATCATTTACATGAAAGATACGATTGATTAGCTTGGTTAGAAACTTTGCAACATGTTCCACCCAACGGCTCGACCCACGATGCGAGCCGTGGTCCAGATGCTGGTCGGTGAAGCTGATGTTCCATTGGTCCCTAAGACAAGACCGACTCTGAGTTTTAGCACTTCTCATCTGTTGTTGAGTTTGCAAGATAGTCTCTCCGACAGTAATGTCGTCGCCGGCGGAATTTCTAGTCCGTCGTCTTCGTCTTGGTCGGCGCCGGAGTTTAGCGTTTCGACGACACGTGGCGATGACCGGTTGGTTTGAAGATCGGAGGAGATATTTGTTTACGGTTGGTTTAGGATTTTGCTTCGTGTGTTGTGAGATTCAATTCATTTTTTTTATAATTCAAAAGTTTACATTATCTTTATCTTTATCAAATATGGTTGAATATCTCTATGCAAATAAAAACTCGAATCTGGATTGAAAAAAATTTGTTCATTTGGTTACTAGTTGAGTGGCCAGATTTAGAATAATTCATTTTTTCATGTAGAAGTAATAGTATAATCATCAATCCAATAATTTATATGTTTTTTAGATTTTGTTAGGTAATCATTATGGTTAGGTTATGTAAAATTGATCCGAATAGAATATATTATATCTTCATAAAATGGATCGAAAACAATCGAATTTAAATCAATCAAATTTGAATTATATATAAAAATAACTGAAAAAATTGGGTAAAAAATTGATAATGAATATTTTTATTGTTTGAACAAGAATAAAAATAAAACCAAACTGAATTCATCCAAAATCAAATGTAAGCATTTTTAGAATAAAAAAACTTCAAATTCAAAAATTAGGGAAACGTCGTGTATTGTAAGATAAACAAATATATAAGGACTCGGATTATATACAATATATATATATATATAATTAATTAATCTACTAATGGATAAGTGACTTGGTTTCCTTTTATATCTTTTGGAAAGAGGTGAACGAACTCTAGAAAAGTCTAACTTTTTCTTCTTCCTACAAAATGGATTGGATATATACATATATATTTATATATATATATATAATCATTTTAATTTCTAAGTACCTTTACGCTTTAAACGACATGAAATAAATATCATAAAAGGATAACAAATATAAAATTCTAAAATATGGATGTGATGTAATTATATCATGTTTAAATATTGCATTAATAGAAAAACTTTCATATACAAATTCAGTTGTTTTATCGTACATGATGGCTTTTTTCAAAGGTTTTCATATACAAATTACCATAATAAGGATTATAAACATATTTAGATAGATAAATTGCCAGAATAAGATTTGTCATACAATTTTGTAGTTATGGTATACAATTAACGTAAAACCTTTTACACATGTTCTGAAATTTAGCTCATTTATTGTTATAATCGAACCGAATCCAATTTATATTTGGTTATAATTTTAGTTAAATATAATTGCATCGGATCAAACTGAATCGACTAATACCAAATAATATTTTGCTTATGAAATTTCAAAATTCTAAATAACCAAATAGAAATTAAATATAACCGAATAATAATTTGTTCGTCTTTTTTCACGTGATTTTCCCCCCCGCAGAATTCCAAAACCATGTATATATATACATAGAGACACAAATACACAAACATACAAAAGCATATTGGTGAATATATGTATAATCATGTGACGCATCATATGGAAAGAATGAAATATTTGGACCCATGCATACAACGAGACAATTAAATGTCATGTTGCTAATAAAAATCGACGCTTAGTGGTTCGTCGTCACGTCTCTATTTCTCCATCCATGCTTTTATCGGTCACTGACACTCACGAATCGAACAGATCGAGTGTTATTCGCTAATTAATTAATACTTATTTTTAAGCAAATTCATTAATTAATCAATCAATATGATAAAAGCATATATTATAAATATATCCAACTTCTCTTTCGGATAACACGAGGGTCTTTGTTAATACTGCCTTTCGTGGACGACAAAAACTATGGGCCTCGCATGCATATGTATAATATAAGTTGTTTTTTATATTATAATTTAAGTACAATTATACATTTTATAATGGTGCTGCATTTATATTATTTTTTTTCAAATTATTACAACGTAACAGCTTTCACCGACAAACCTGATTGTTGTCTTCAACTAGCCACGTAGTAGATTCATAAAAAAAAAACACGAATTCTGTTTGCTAGATATGAATGTAAATACATTATAAGAAAATATCAATACTTAAAACCCTCATAACAGTATAAACAAAGGAATTTTTTAAATTATAAGAACTTATTTCGCACAAATTTTAAAAATATATGTAATTTAGAATTAAGTAGAAGTTATTTTACATTCTTTTGAGTTTTATTTTTTAATCTCAAATGGTTGCCCTATGCCTATTTAAATTTTAATTCGCCCAATCGAACATGGGGTGAGTTGTATATTCGAATATAGAATTACGTGGTTATGCATTATTTCACAAAGTCAAACTCACTGTTAAAGGTCAATTGAACTCTGTTCATAAGCACAAAGGACACAAGTACACCAATTATAAGTAGAATAAAAAATAAAAAACGATATATATATATAAAATCTCTAGATGGAAAACATATTATCGTATTTCTTAGATAACGTCTATCGAAATTAAAAAAAAATATGTAATTTTCCAAAATATTTTTATTGCTTCGTGCGTTGATTTAGAGACGAATAAATACTAATCTAAATATATAAGGTTTAAAAATATCGGTTTATAATTAAAAAGCGTTTAGATAATTCGTAAAATACAAAAGAAAAAGTGAGAAAGGATGAGAAATATATGAAACAATGAAACAAGAAGCTTTATAGAGGGAGTCTAACCAAAGGTGAGGCTCCAAAGAATCTTACCATAACCAAACAATACAATACGTGTATGTGTTTTTATTATCGTTATTCAAAATTTTGGTCCCATGGCACCAACTCAACTATTTTTGTCATTTTCCATCAAAACAGATTTAATGATTTATTCTTATTAAAAAGGACAATCCCCATGATTCCCCAATCAACGAAATTATTATAAATTTTAAATAATATATTGAAGATATAATACCGAATTTTTAACAGCTAGTTTACATGATGCATGCATGCGTTGAACCAAAGATGTTGTAACAATGAGGTCATAGATTGTTGGGCCAAAGCCCAATTTCGCCCAATCGAAATAATATTGGACCTAATTGAATGAAATAAAACATATTTGACGAAATCAGAAATAAATCAAACATTAAGGATCTAACCATAAATCCTCTAACCCGTAGGAATTGGCTTGTTAGTGGGTGTAGACCGGATATGAACACACACACACACACACACTCACACACGTTGTTTTCCGAGGTTTTGTCTTAATCAAGCGCTCGAAATCTCCTCCCAAATCGTACGTTGCCGGAGCTAATCCCACGGCTTTTCGATCGTTAAACATGGACGGCGACGATTTATCCGGCGAGGTAAGTCTCTGATTCCCGTTGATCGGCATTGTTCTTCGTGTAATCGGTTTGTTTCGATGAAATCTAGCCAAATTAGGTTAATTAGTTCGGCCTCATCTTCTACGTTATGAAAACCTATGCCCCTTTCGGAATTTCTGATTGCTCGTGGGTATGCGGAAGATCTGGGCAAAAACAGTTTGGCTGTTCTAATTGAACAGGACCATGAACTTTGAAGTTATGATCCGTACTTTCGTGATCGTTATGGTGATTTTCTTGAATCGTCGCATTGCTTTTATACTGATCTGAGAGAAAAAATTTTCTCCCGTGATTGTTTGGCAATTTGTAAAGCGATCATCTTAGTTGTGGTTTCACTTTCACCCCATTGTTGTGACAAAGCTATAATCACATCTCTTGGCGAATTTGATATGAAAAAACAATGCTTGATTCGATTTTCTAGCTAAACTTATTGTTCATGCCAAATGTGTGTAATAAATACGAAAAAAGACGCTCCAAAAACGATTTAACTCGAGGTTTCTAACATCGAATTCTAAGTTCTGAGACCTCTCTTCATAACAGCGGTTTTCGATATGCTTGGACGGCCCGCTCTTGTACCTGATTATCTGTTGTTCTTTTCATTGTCTCATGCTCTTTTTTTTCACAGTTCTTGACCACCATAGGGGCAAGTCTTCGTGCTTGAACTTCTTGTCCTAAACCATGGTATGATGATACATATACATTGTTGTGGTGGTGATTCTTCAGATAATTGCTGAAGCCAAAGGGTTAAACCCGGGTCTGATCGTGCTGCTCGTTGTTGGAGGTTTGCTATTGGCATTCCTCATTGGAAACTACATGCTCTACAGGTATGCCCAGAAGAACCTTCCGCCCAAGAAGAAGAAGCCCGTCTCCAAGAAGAAGCTGAAGCGCGAGAAGCTGAAGCAGGGAGTTCCCGTCCCGGGAGAGTAAGGATCGTTGTTTCCCTCACTAAGCTCATTCGAAGCTGGAAACCGATGCATCCGGTGTCTGATAAATTCACCCTTTTTCGGGTTTTTTCTTTTCGTTCCCTTTAGTTTTTTTTTCTTGTCATGAGAATTTAGAATGGCTCTGAATCTATTATGGTTCACATCGAGAATATTACGAAACAGGATGACCCTTTGCTTGGGAGTCAAAGACTTCAAATATTTTGTCTGTGTTTCTCACTCTCCTGATTGCAGCCGTAGAACCTTTCAATCTTAGCTCGGATCAGATCCTTGGAACCACTAAAATCTTCTTGTTTAGTTTTAGTTGACTATGTTGTTCCCGGATTCTCGGATCTTTGTTGAACTTGCCCATGTTATCTATAATAAGACCTGTCCATATATTCGCCCAAGCAAATAGAAAAATACAGAATAAAGTCAAACCTTATTTTGCAAAATATTTTGACTCGAGTCCACAAGAAACAGAGTGTACAAGGGATGAGACAACTCAAGTATCACAAATCGAGGCGACAACATAACGAAACAAATAAAGATATAGCGTTTCTTTTCATGAGAAAGAACACAGACCAAACCCACCCACCAGAGTTTTATTCAGACATCATATAACCCACAGGGTTCGAACATTAGGACACTTTCTTAAACAGATGTATGTATTACATAGACAAACAATGGACAAATTCTCTCAGTGACGGCCCATGGTTTGATCGGGAGGAGGGACCACGACCACAACGGGCTGAGCCTTGAAGCCAGGGTGAGGCAGCCTCCGTCGAAGCTCCCGACCTTCCTGGCAAAGGGCACACGTGTGGCACATCACGTGTGTCATGAAATCACATGTGGTTTCACAATGCTCCCTTTGCATCTCGTCCTCTATGCAGCTCCCACAGCAACCACACGACCTGTTCAGTGCCTCGAAGCTCCCCTGTTTCATCATTTACATGAAAGATACGATTGATTAGCTTGGTTAGAAACTTTGCAACATGTTCCAGCATGAAACATGAACAGTTTGGACAGGTTGCTCCTGGAGAAGAACATAAGAGAATCAAGATTCTGCAGATTGAGAAAGAGCCGAGTGAATCAGAGACAGACAAAGGGAATGAAACAGGGGATGGGTTGTTCTTTATAACAATTCTAAGATTGATTTCTACATTTGGGGACATGGCACTATTACTTCTTCTGTTTCTGCCAAATTTAAGAACCAAAATCTCAATAACCCACAAAAAAGATTCTCGATTGAATTTGCAGAGTGCACAAATTCGGAACCGATTGAGCAAATCCCCAAATACCCTTTGAGATCAGGATGCATACACAATTCTGTTTCTGCCCTTTTAAGAGCTGAAAACTCAATAAGCCCACAAAAAGAAGATACTCAATTGGATTTGCAGAGGTCACAAATTCCGAACTGATTGAGCAAATCCCCAAATACCCTTTGGATCAGGATGCATAAACAAACAGGAACCAATTCCCCGTTCTTCAGAAAAGCCGTTATTAAGAAATACAATGAAGCAGAGTTGATAATGGTGAGATTGAGGAAGCATATACCTCGAGGTTAAACTTCCTGCGAATTGCAGAACGGATAGGATAAGAGAACCATGGAGCAAGGCAATTCCAGCCAAAGAAAGAATTACCCATTAGGTACAATCCGAAATACGGTAAGCAATGAGTCGTGAAGGTCCCTGGAGCGGATCCGAGTCTCTCCACGTTACTTCCATATAGCACACATGGAGCCACGCTTCCAAGAAGACCTATTCACAGAATCCATGATTCATTCATTAGGGATTTATCAAAGGAAAGAACAAACCCTGCTCTGATTATATGAGATCATAGTTATGTCCTTCCTGATCATCAATCAACAGCTGAAACTTCTTGATCCATTACGAATTTACTATTCTACGAACCCTAATTCCATAAATCGAAATACCCATCAGGTATTGTTGGATCACGACATAATTCAGTCATTCAACCAGCTGCACAAAATCACACATAATCTCTCATATAAACGACCTGATTTTAAAATCCAATCACAGAAAAGGATCGAGAAAACTCACAAACTTCGAGATCGCTGCTGCAGAACTCATCATTGCGACCAAGACAAGAGAAGAGACCCGAATCCCACTGGTTCCTCTCGACGGGCTCGCCCATCACGCTTCCATGGCTCAGCGGTAGCCCATCCGCCGTCCAACTGTATCCCTCCGTCGCCGGAGCTACAGCCTTCGTTTGGCCATCGGAGCCCATCTTACCGTCGTTTCCCTCCAAAAGCGGACTCGATTCGTCACCGTCCTCGCTCCGGTGGCTGTCGTGTTTGTCTTCTGCCGCCATAATTTGCCCGAAAGATCTCGGTTTTCTCAACTCGCCGATCCGAGGAAGAGGAATGATTGAGGGGAGAGAGAGCGAGATGAGGGAGAGAGAGAGAAATGGCCGTTCACGTACAGGTGAAGGAATTGAAGAGCGAGTCGCCGTCGTCACCGACTGTTTATTTTAGATAATTCCACCTAAACTTTTTAATTTTTAAATTTCAAAAGCTGAATAAACCAATTTGGGCTTTTATTGGACTTTTAGGCCCATAAGGCCCATTAGATTAAAAAAAAAATCTAACAGGGGATTGCAGCCATAATAATGTTTTTTTTTTGTTAGAGGTTTGTTAATAATGTTTTTTTTTCTAAGCATGTTCAACATTATTTTTTAAAATTATTTCGTGACCTTTTTTTATGTACATATTATATAAGATTTTTGGCTCACGAAGGCATGGTCTAACGGTATGGATGATTTTTGCTTAATAAAATATATCAAATTTCAAGGATTTAAATGTCGGTGAGAGTGTTACGAAATATTAATAAATACAGTTTACATAATGATCTAATTTTATATATTTATAATAGATAATTAAAATTAGTATCTTCTAGAAAAATATTTTGCCTCTATATCGCAAACTGTAAACATTGAATTAATAATAAGTCCCAATAGTATAGGTATGTATTTTGTTAGGTGATTTTATATATGATTGTATCCTAATATTTAGTCGTTTTTAAACTAGAGATTCTTTATGTTATGTACGAGTATAACTTACAAGATTTATATGATTGTGTGTGTGTGGATTATATGTCATTATTTTTTGCCACCTTAAAGTAAACGAAAAAGATTATTATTATTGCATAAGATTTTAAACAAACTAAAAAAAAAGACATGAAATGCTGAAAAGTGAAGGCAGAGAATCCAAAGAGAAACAATAAATAAAATAAGTAAATGACTCAACGGTAACACCAAATCTAAGGCAGCCCATAAAGCTGGGAAGTATAAGGAAACTCTTGTCCTAAACTCAGATAGCCATTGCACATATACACACCTATGTGTGTGTATATATATATAGAATTTGAGAAGTGAGAAAAAAAGGAGCAAAATGGTTATTTAGTGCACCAAAATAAAAATCAAAAGGTAAAAAATTTGTTAGATCCAGCTAAGGGTGGGCGTTTCGGGAAACGTTTCGGGTTTGGGACGAAATAAATCGGTTCGGTTCTTTCGGTTTTACAAAAATAGGTATCAATCGGGTTTTTTATTGTATTTGGTTCGATTCGGTTTCGGTATCGGTTCGGTTTCAGATTTTATTAAAAATATGATAGATTTTCTTTAAAAATATTCGGTTTTTCGGGATTTTTAAAGTTTGGTTCGGTTTCGGAAAAATTCGATTCTCTAAAAATGGTACCGTTCGGAAAATAACAGAGGTTTCGGATCGAAAAAAATATTATTTTAACGATTCGGTTCGGTCCGGTTCCGAAGAACCGAATCGAAACGCCGAGCCTATATCCAGCATAAGACAAATTTTTTAAAAAAATGGAGCAAAAACAATGTTTATTTTTTTTTAATCTCTTGTAAGGAAAACGAAGTAACTTTTTTTTTTGGTTGTCAGTGTGCGACCACATGCTTAATTGCATTTTCATGGAGCCGCAAGATTCTCTCGGATAACTAAAACTTTCAAGCACTGAATTTCATTCAGCAATAGTATAATCCAAAAACATATATATATATATATGTATATACATATATAGATATATATGTTCTTTCTTTTTCTCGGCGCATTGTCTATTCCCGAGAAAATACACGACGAGAAACCAGAAAACAGAGGACGAACTTCAAAAAATCAGAGGAATAATTAAAAAAAATACATTTAAGGAAAACTATTAGTTACGTAAATCCCAACCTTGTGTTCTTCCAGAATCCCAACTCCGGCACGAGCCTCTCTCCCATTCTCGCCGGCTCCGATTTACAGCGCGTGAGACTCAAACGCTGCCGGGGAGATCCACAATGCTCTGTTTTTTCAGCTCCATTGTTCCCAGATTTTCTCTCCGATTCTCCAACCGAATCTTCAGATTTCTCTGGTTCTTCAACGCTTGTCGACGATTCTCCCGAATCCGACATTTTTTCCGGCGCCGCATTGCTATCTTCTGGTTGCTTTTGTCGTGTCTGAACTTGCTCTGTTTCTGATTGGCTCTGTTCTTGTTGGTCGCGGGAAACTGGAGATCCCCAGAATCTGCTTGCTAACGACGAAGATCTGTACGGCGCAGATCTGCATCTCGTCAATAACAAAGCGTTTCTCGGAGGAATCGAATCGAAGGATTTGGATGAATTTTCTTCTTCTTCTTCTTGTTCATCTGTTCGAGTTTCTGCATCGTTTAGCTGCACCGTCGAACGTCTGAAAATGGGTTCACTCCTCGTCGAGCTCGATCTTTTCTCTGATTTTCCCGAGAAACTGACACGAGAAAACGAAACCCATTTGCGCCAAACAGGGCTGAAGAAATTCGGTTTGAGTTTTCCGGCGGAAGGATGGCAGGAAAACGCGCTCTTGACCCACCAGCACCGCCGCCGTCGCCGCTGTCGGCTTTTCCCGGCGACCCGACCCGGTCTGGGCTTGGATTTCTTGGAGCGGGTCATTCGGACCTGACCCATACAAGTGACCTTAGGCGACGAAGGCTCTTGGGTCTCCGTCGCCGGAGTATTTTTCCGGCGAAAGAAGATGGGACTTGAACGAGAACGGCCCCTGCTTTTGCAGCCGGTGTTTGTTCGGAGGAACCGCATCAGTAGCGGCGGGTAATTCTCGACCCGACCCGGACTCGAAACGGGTCTCGAAGAAGAAAACCTCATCTTCTTCTGTTTTTTTTTCTTGGAAAAAAAAAATCTTGCTCTCTTTTTGTTCTCTGGTCTCTATATGCTTCAGATCGAAGATTGCACCTATTTTTGTTTATTTATATTCACACGGGTGGGTTTTGAGAATCAACGGTCAGGATCGTTCTGTCATGATGATATCGACGGTTCTGCTTGACTTGTTTTTCTTTTATCAAGATTTTTGTTCATTTTCAATCTCCTTTCTGTTTCCCTTTTTCAGGGCTTTTCACTTTTCGTTTGAAGCTCAAAAGCGAGAAATAAATATTTTATGTGAAAAAGAATATCAAATAATATCAAAGCTTATAAATATATGTTGTATTGTGGAAACATAATTTATTTCCGATATTTTGTTTTACCATTTTCCCAGTTGAATTTCACCTCAATGTACAAAACGCATTTATATAGCCATATACACACATATGTATATCTATGTATGTGTCCGTAACTTGTGAAAAAGAATATAAAATGAAATAACCATTGTTTATTTTGTCATTTTTAAAACATTGAAGACAGAATCTAAATGTCAGCCCAGCTGGAAAAAAAAGAACTGTCTGAATTGTAATATTTATCGTAAAAAAAAAAATACGCAGCACCATGGTTGGATTTTATTTAAAAGTGAATGATATATATATATATGTGATATTGTCAATACATTAATAGATTTTTGTTGGGAAAGTGGACAAGTGAAAATGGGTCACATGATGAATTTGACAAGGAAGTGATGAAGGGAAATGGGTAATGAGAGACTCTCAACAAATCCATCATCGCACCTTAATGCATTAATTGTCTCTTCATAAGGCCTACCATCCATTTTAATTTCAAATCTCTCTCATATCATATCTGTTTACATCAAACTTTATATTCTTTTTTCTTTTATAAAAACACATAAAAACATGATAATATCCATTGCTTTTCCATGATAGGAAATGATTAAGCTTATGGCCAAGTTAGTGTATATATATATATATGTTTATAGTGAATGTGAATGTATTGTATGGTAAATGTGGATGAGATTGAAGGAACGGGACAATCTTCTTCTGTCGACTTGAAAACAATTGAAGAAACTCGAAGCTTCTCCTTCGATCCGAAGCTTTCCCTGTCCTCTCTTCTTCTCCGCTGAAATTTGCGTCAGGTTCCGAATGAAGAGGAAGAGTTTATCTTTTCTCTCCATTGGAAATGCAAAGAAGTACAATCATTAATAATATGATCAAAGGAAGAATGCTCTTAGGGAATTCGTGCAAGGTTAATCACTAAGAACAAATATATGATATGAGAGTTTCGGGTTTCGGTTCGGGTTTTGTTAGGAAACAACAAAATTAGACAAGATGTTAATCGATTTTAATGTCGGTTTTGGATAAGTTTTGTTATATAAGTATCAAATGATAACCGAAACTTGATATTGTACATAAAGATGTATAATTTGGGTTTTGGACCGCTACTTGTCGGGTCGGTTCGAGAACGATGTTTTCGGTTATCAAATGAGAACCAAGTATTATCTAATTAGATTCGGTCAGTCTCGATTTCGGTTAAGACCGTTTATGTAACTATTTCCCTTTTTCCCAATCCGTAGAAGTGAGAAAGATGAAGTAATCAAGGTTTATAATAGGATTCTCTTTTTACCGTTTTCAAGTTTTTTTTTTCAGATTCGAATGTTCTGTTAAAATTATATATTATAAGGGTCACAATTTCATGATTTGTATAATGTCCTAATTGCATATGGTTTCTTCTGCTTAGAGTAATGTTGTTGGACTTGCAACCATTTATTTTACAATGGACTCAGTTATTAATTCGTTTGTTAAACTCTTAACAATAGGGATGATCATTTCGAATTTTGATTCGGTTATATTTGAATTCGGTTATTTCGATTATAGAAAACCATAGACATTTGGATTTATATCAACTTCGATTCGTATTCGAATTTTTATTTTTTAAAAACTCGTTCTTTTAAAGAAATTTTCAGTTTTTCTATTTTATATTCGACTCGATTCGGTTCACATTCACTTTTTTAAAATTAAAAAATTATGAGAAGTAATAACCATTCACTTTTTATGTCGGATTTATTTAGATTATGGTTATATCTTGTTCGGTTTGGTTTGGTCCGGTTCAACTATTCGGTTAATGACTAAAATGATCACCCCTAATTATTCTTTATTTTTCTTCCAACCTTAGAGTTAAAAACTTTTCCTTATATTTATGTTTCTAAAACCGACTTTCATTTCATTTTATTTTTTGTTTTTTGGATTCAGAAGCTGCAAATATTTCATGGGTTCTGTAAAATTTTATTTAAAAAAAGAGAAAAGTTTTTTAAAAACCATGGGTTTGGTGGCATGAAATGAAATAGATTACATGGCAAGTAACATAGCGTTTTCAAACATGCAATGTTTCAGTTAATGTGTTCCCTTCCCAACAACTGGTTGGTCGGAGAAGACAAAACCAACTCAAGCAATCTCAATACCCATTTTTTTTTCAATTAAAAAAAAAAAACTCTACACTCTTGTTCGCTAGTTCCAATCACTCACCAAATCTTCAAAAAACAAAACCCATAAATATTACATATAAAATATATAATCAAGATTCTTATATATCATATTTCTCCAGCATTTGTTCCTCAATTGTAGCGATTGATTCTTCTTCACAACAAAGATCCATTCTTGTTCCAAAGGTTTCGGATCTCTTATCGGATGGGATCTGTCGAGAGATCGAAGAAGAAACTTCAAGTATGGAAGAAGGCTGTCGTTCATTTCTCTCTCTGCTTCATTATGGGGTTTTTCACTGGCTTTGCTCCCGCAGGTAAGGCCTCGTTTTTCCCTAGTTCCAACATCGACCCCACTACTACTATTAAATCTCAGTTTTCACCCCAACCTATTGAAAACTTGCACCAAACACCCCCAACCCTTGTCAATAGAACCCTAGTAGTATCCCCAGACCGAGCCTCGGCTCTCGCAAAGTCGGAAGAAGATATTGGAGTGGAGACGAGAAAGTTGTCCGGGACAGATGATGAAAACCGGGTTAGCTTGACGCCGAAAGGTTTGATCATCATTGTAACTCCTGTAATTACAAAAGATCGGTATAAAGATGTGCTCATGAGGAGAATGGCCGATACTCTGAGGCTAGTGGCTCCTCCGTTGCTATGGATAATCATAGAGAAACATTCGGATTCGGGCGAAACATCGCGTATGCTGAGAAATACAGGCATTATGTATAGACGTTTGGTCTTCAAAGAAAACTTTACGAGTATAGAAGCAGAGTTGGATCACGAGAGAAACATTGCATTAAGACACATTGAGCATCATCGCCTCGGCGGAATCGTGCATTTTGCGGGATTAAACAACATCTACGATCTTGACTTTTTCGACGAAATCAGAGATATCGAGTAAGTAAAACTCTACAATTTTCCTCCCATTTAACCCGAGTCGCTACGCACAACGAGAGCTCATAGGTTCAATCGTTCTTCGGATCTTTTTAATGTGTAGGGTGTTCGGGACGTGGCCAATCGCGTTGCTATCGGCGAACAGGAAACGAGTAATAATAGAGGGGCCGGTTTGCGAATTTTCAAAAGTGATAGGGTGGCATTTGAGAAAACTCAATAACGAAACGGAGCCAAGGCCTCCAATCCACATCTCAAGCTTCGCATTCAACAGCTCCATTCTTTGGGACCCCGAGAGATGGGGCCGTCCCTCTTCAGTCCAAGGCACCAAGCAGGTTTTTTTTTAAAAATCTCATATAATCTTTTTTTCTTAATAATAGCATTGCTGCAGTAAGAATTATATTATATGTTATATAAAATGTTTAAATAATTTTATTGGCAGGACTCGATCAAGTACGTGAAGCAGGTGGTCATGGAGGATGATCCAAAACTGAAGGGACTTCCAACACAAGACTGCTCCAAAGTTATGCTTTGGCGTCTCAATTTTCCCACCACTGCACACATTTGATCCATACATACACACACACACATATATATATATATATATATATATCTCCCACATGCTTTTTTCCAAATTCAGAGAGAATAATTTCGCCAAGGAAATTAGACAGAGAAAGGATCTCGAGTTTTTTGTACCTAAAGTCATAGAGGAAGTATGTAGCCGACATGATATGTTTCTAAACCAAATGGCAAATACAAAAGCTCTCAGACAAGATGTCGGATGTGATCTAAGTCATGCCCCTAATCATATTCGTTTTAAGAGATGAAAAGGGCATACAAGTAATTAGGTCGGGCTAACAGGCAATATATATAGCACAAGTCGTACTTCATGCATGGAATATCAACATCATCCTACTTGATTCATACCGAGAATGAAGCTCTTCCAAGTGTTGTGCGCTTGCCGAAAGCTTTCAGCTCTCTCTGTTTCGGGATCGAAGCTGACCCGAAATTTGTTTTGTCGACCTGCACAAATGGAGCAAAAGGGACAAAAGCAAATAGTTGCTAACTCAGCACATATAGGCTTTGTCTCGAAGGAGACAATCAAAGAAGGTAAGCTTTTATCTCATTTGGAAGATACCTCCATTCTTGCAGACCTTGAAGAGACACTGAGCTTAGCTATTTGCTTCCGGGATGTTCTCCAATGGAGTCAGGCTCGGGTTTTCTGCTACTTCTACTACCCTCTCGGAAATGGTAAGCATCCCGTCTTCGCCATGAGCAGAACTGTTGACTAAGAGAGGAGTCCTTTTGAGAGATGTATCCTCTGACTCATCTCCTGCAAACTCTTTTTCCATCTCTGATGGCATATCTGAGACCATGTCTTTGGTTTCTTTGATTGATTTGTCACTCTGCTCGCACACAGCTTTATCTGGCGTTTCTCCCTCTTTAGGCAACTCAATACATGAGATCATATTCTCACCACCAGAAGCAGAATTCTGATCAATAATGGACATGGGTTCTCCATTAGCAGGACATACTTTCTTTGTACCTTTTGCCAAACCAGTGCCCTGCTTTCCACTGCTTCCTCTTTCGCTTACCGATGGTAGAGAGCTGTTATTTCCTGCAGTCTTCTTCTCTTCATTATCACCTTCACCCTTTAATTGTTCTTCTGCAATGATTTTCGAATACTTTTTGTTCTGTGCCTTTGGTGATGAGACAGAGATGACTCTGGGACTCCTGGTAAAACTACTGACCTTTGTTTTAGAATTTGACGACTCTTGTAAAGGGTGTCTTTCAGGCTGAAGCTTTTCAGACTTTGTTTTCGTTAAGGATCCATTTGGGCTATTAACTCCATGCTTGGACAAACTACTTAAAGCACATGAACGATCTTGCATGTTTCCCGTGGGAGTTTGGGCAGCACTTCTCACCTATTTAACAGAACGTTCAAATGCATTAGTATGACAGAGAGTGAAATGAATTCGGGATTTTCCCAAGGGAAAGTATGTTTCAAGTACGAGAAGTATGATTTCTATATGTGCAAAGGATTTCATGAATGTTGAAACTTACTCTATCAAAGAAGCCAATTTTTGGTGATGGGACACGGAGGCCCGTCGGTTTCATTGAAGCTGGATGAACGACACCACCATTAACAGCTGAAACTCGTTTTGTACCATCATGGACGAGTTCACCAACCATAGAGCCAGGTCGGACAAAAGTTTCATTGTTAGAATTGACAAGAGGCTTCGAAGTCTGTGGTCTATCATTGTTTGCAGAGCCCTTTGCACCGGAGACTGTTTTCTGGCTGTCTTTAGCCGTTTTATTTGGAGTAGAAGCTCGTGATGATTCTGATGACCGGTCACTGATAGAGCTAGCAGGTGATACGTTAGAGGAAAGCTTGGATTTGGATGTTCCCTTGGTTGAGAGGGATGGAATTCTAGGCTGACTCGTATTTCTAGGCGCAACTCTAGGCAAGGTCCTATTTGTGAAAGAAGGAGAGGCTAATCTGGAACTGGAATCTTTCTTCTTCTGTATCAAATTTGTGGAAGATTTGTAAGAAATGCTAGATGAAGCACTAGCGCAGCTCTCTAGAGAAGAGCAAGAAGATGTCAGTTCATTCTTTGAGGCAACTGAAGAGCGCAAAGAAGATTTAGAAGGCACCACAGGTCTTGGCAAGACGGGTTTAGCACTTCCAGAGATGGATATTCTAGAACCTAAGGGCTGTTTACCTGTAAAATGAAAGTTCACAGGAAGATACAAATGTAAAGAAGCAGACAATTTCAAAGTCCCAGTAAAAAAAATTAGAGAAGATAAAAGGTTCTGACTAACCCCCACCCCCAGATAACTTGGAATCCTTTTCTTGTTTGGTTTTGCTAACATCTAAGGATGCTCTCTTCGTTGATGTTGTTGGCATAGGTCTGACTCGGCTGATTACCTTGGGCGGCTTGGAGGTGGTTGTACTCGATCCTCTAGAAGCAACAGGCTGTAAAAAGCCGATCACTAATAAGATTCCACTGTAGGTTTGCATTCATTATGTGGTTCAGTATGGAGTGAGACATAATAACTTATATAATGCCTCTTGAATGCTTAAATTTAATAAAAGCAAAGTTCATAAGTCCAGCCAACATATCCCACAACTGGAAAACCAAGAAGAAACCCATCACTTACCTGCAGTGCAGTCGGATGCTATAATAGGATAAGACAGACAAAAAGGAAAAGAAAAAAAAATCTTGTAGCCATTTGAGCTCTTGAGAAATTGGTCAAAGAAGGTATACCTGCTTTGTTGCCTTCCCTAAACCCTGTACTCTAAAACTTGGCTTCTTAGGACTTGCTTTGGGTTTCATCTAAAAAACAAAAAAATATAGGGTTAGCAAGGAAGGACTGTAAAGCATGTAAGGCAATCCACAGTGAGTGGTTTGTGGACTCACCTTTTCCTGAGAGATAGGGTCCTCCACCATGCTGGACACTGGAGATTTAAGATGACGAATGCAAAGCATGGTCAATAGAGGAACAACATGAACTAAATAACTTATCGCGGATTAAGCACGTTTGCTGCAATGTTTTAAAAAGCAATGCTTGCTGCGACTGCAAATGGGCAAACATATACAGCTTGAAACAACATTTGATATAGGACAATAATAAACTAAAACACAGCAGCTCAGCATTCTTTACAAATTATGACGGTCTACTTGACGTCTCAAGCTATATTACACTTGATGCTAGCTTGACCAAGTTGACATAGGGAGAGAAACTGTGTGGGAAAAACTTCAGCATTTAACACCATTATATTAGATTCGATATCTACTTAACTCATAGAAAATAACATTCATAGCCAGACCCAAACAAGAGAATTTATATATCATGTAAATCGGTAAAGCTAGTACCTCTCTCTCTATCTCTCTGCACAAGATAAAGTACACTTACTTGGGCTGGTTGCTGCATCTGTTGGTACCAATTCCTTACTTTTGTCCGGTGTTGCAGCATCAGATGCTTTAGCAGATCTTTGGATTGATGCTCTTATATCTTCGAAGAAACCAAACTCCTGACAGTTCTCCACTGTGCAATCACTTTGAAACGTAGATATGGATTCTGTAGACATTTGCAGATCCTCTTGAATGGTTGATAAGCTTTGATTTTCACCCTTATGGTTGCTTTCTATCATGCTGGACAGTTCCTCAGGCTCCAGGACACCTGATTTGACAATGCATACCAGGAAAGTGACTAAAAATCTGAATCTGAATTTATACTTCCTACAGAGAAGAGTGAGAAACTTACCTGCACTTGTGAAAAAGGCTTTGTCCCAGGCAAGACTTTTGCGCAAGTTATACTTTCCACTTTTCGTCAATGTATCGGGTTCAGGTGATTCATGAGGTTGAAGCACTTGTTCCTTCTCTTCTAAGGTAGACACCGGTATCTCTTCATCATAATCATGAGAACCCCCCAGAAAGCCAAGAACTTTGTCATCCTTATCATTCTCTGAACATGCCACCACAAAAGGGTACCAATTATGAGCACGAGCAGAAGCACAAAGCAAAAGTTTTACCAATTCAATGTCAGATCCCAATAAACGGTGACTTTTCTCAAACTCCATTGCGGAAGTTCAACCAAGGTTCTCATAGAGTTAATTCAGTTCCACAAACCATCATCAACACCGTTGAGAAATCACTACGAACAACACAAGAAATCTATAATCCCCAAAATTGAAACTTCTCCAAGCATGAACCAAGAAACAAAACAATCAAGTTCCCAAGAAATATTTCCAGTTAATCGATTATCTCAACGAACAACAAAAACACCGTTTCTCAAAGTTCCAAATTACCATAAGCTTCAACACCCCAGCAGTGGGATTCGGAAATTAGCAAAACCCTTGAACCCATCTAAGCGAAGACAACATCCAAATCGGATCCAGAATTAGGTGAATCAAAGAGAAAATTACCGGAGAAATCGTTGATACTGGGATCGAGGAAAGACGAAAAGAGGAGACTATCGTCTTCGGAGGAGACGTCGATGAGACTGAGCCCATGGATCTCGAACTCACTTCTCCTGCCATCACTGTCCTCCATGAACAGAGATTAACGAAGATCGATGGCGAAATTCGCAGTGCCGGAAATGTTGATGCTGTAGATTCCACCGTTTGGCGAAGAAGAAGAAGAAGAAGAAGAAAGGGTTTAGAGTTCTTAATTTGAATTGAAGAGAACCGGCAGATTCTTATTTTATTTTATTTATATTTTCTCTCACGAAAAAAAAAAAAACAATTGAAGAGTGCTGGAGAGATCGAGGTTTTTTTGGTAGATCCTATTGGGTGGAGGTGGGTCCCACACGAACAAGATCCGTCGATTTCTGACCGTTGGATTATAACCCATCCAGTTTTCCTGAAGGAAACAAACGTCTAAATGAAAAGATATGCCCAAAAAAACTATTTTTGTGTGATTTAGAATCGATTGTGTTTTGGTTTAATTTTTTTCCCATTTTTGAAATACTACAGTTATTTGGTATTTGTTTAGGATTTGATTTTAAAATTTTAAATCAATTTTTTTATTTTTTTATTTAATTCGAGTTTAAATTTTTCAAGTTTATATCTGTTCATTTTTATATCAAATTTACTTAACCAAAATAACCATGTAACCAAAATTACACACTGATAAAAGATAAGTACATTCTGTTAAACTGTATTTAGGATTTAGTTAATTAAGTTTATGTTTTAAACTATTTATGTCGTCTATAGTTAATAGTTATATTTATAGCTTAAAATTCAATATTTTTTTGTTTGCAAACGTAGATTTTATTTATCTAATTCTAAGATTAGGATTTTTCTTTTATTTTTTATGTTAAAATTTATTATGTTTTTATTTTAACTCGATTTTATATCGAATTCGAATTAGTTTAGGTTTAAAAAAGATCCTATATAATTTTCATTTCATTAAATTTTTCATTTCAATCATTTCTAAAAAAAAATCAATCATTTCTAAAAAAATTACACGTTGATAAAACGGAGGATAATAAACTAAGAAAATCAAAAAAGATTTTTGTGATAGAATGAATATTTGATCATCAATATATATATATATATATATATATGCAACTTCCCTCAAAATAAATACTACTTAGAAAGAGCAGACAAAACAACCGAAATACAAATACAAAGCCCATTTCCTGATTTCCAGACAGGTTTTACTAGGGGCAATTGCAAAAATACCCTTAAATGATACATGGGACTTCAATGGATACCCTTCATAAAAAAAAGAAAAGAGACAACATCAAATATAACCTTATAAATGTAGTTTTCCTATAATACCCTTTATTAATTTATATAATATAATAAAATAAAAATATTTTTCTCTCCTCTCTCCACCTCTCTCTCTCCCACTCTCTCTCTCCTTTCTTCCGTTTTTTCGCGCCTGTATCACGCTCTCTCTCTCTCTCTCCGAGCTCCTCCTCTACAGTGTGAAATTCTCACCAAATTTGTTGAGAAAAACAAGCGAAATCTCCAATAATCTCATCCAATAAAAAGAAAAACTCTAAATGCCCAAAGTATATAACGGAATTTAAAGAAGAAAACTTACCTATACACGAGATCTATGTTTATTGGATGAGATTATTGGAGATTTCGCTTGTTTTTCTCAACAAATTTGGTGAGAATTTCACACTGTAGAGGAGGAGCTCGGAGAGAGAGAGAGAGAGCGTGATACCCGTCAAACTCGTCACACCGTCAGTACCCGTCAAACTCGTCACACCTTATCGATTTTCGCGAATTTGCCTACTGCAAACTGTAAACTTATCAATTATCATCCCATTCATTAAGTATCTTATGCTGAATCTAAATCTAGCTCTCAAATTTTAATACCTTTTTGTTTCTCACAATGCATGTTCTCCCAGAGAAACCCTAAAGTTCTAATAGTGTTCTCCTAACACATTGGCTTAGGGTAGGAAATAGTTTTTTTTTCGCATGAGTTACGGTTAACAAAAACTCGTTAAATATGTTATAATGACCCCTATACACCACACTGAACCATCAAAACTTAATTTACACCAACGATTTGTTTTCACAAACCGTCAACCCGTCAAACTCGTCACACCGTCAGTACCCGTCAAACTCGTCACACCTTATCGATTTTCGCGAATTTGCCTACTGCAAACCGTAAACTTATCAATTATCATCCCATTCATCAAGTATCTTATGCTGAATCTAAATCTAGCTCTCAAATTTTAAGACCTTTTTGTTTCTCACAATGCATGTTCTCCCAAAGAAACCCTAAAGTTCTAATAGTGTTCTCCTAACACATTGGCTTAGGGTAGGAAATAGTTTTTTCCCGCATGAGTTACGGTTAACAAAAACTCGTTAAATATGTTATAATGACCCCTATACACCACACTGAACCATCAAAACTTAATTTACACCAACAATTTGTTTTCACAAACCGTCAACCCGTCAAACTCGTCACACCGTCAGTACCCGTCAAACTCGTCACACCTTATCGATTTTCGCGAATTTGCCTACTGCAAACCGTAAACTTATCAATTATCATCCCATTCATCAAGTATCTTATGCTGAATCTAAATCTAGCTCTCAAAGTTTGCAGTAGGCAAATTCGCGAAAATCGATAAGGTGTGACGAGTTTGGCGGGTACTGACGGTGTGACGAGTTTGACGGGTTGACGGTTTGTGAAAATAAATCGTTGGTGTAAATTAAGTTTTGATGGTTCAGTGTGGTGTATAGGGGTCATTATAACATATTTAACGAGTTTTTGTTAACCGTAACTCATGCGGTAAAAAACTATTTCCTACCCTAAGCCAATGTGTTAGGAGAACACTATTAGAACTTTAGGGTTTCTTTGGGAGAACATGCATTGTGAGAAACAAAAAGGTCTTAAAATTTGAGAGCTAGATTTAGATTCAGCATAAGATACTTGATGAATGGGATGATAATTGATAAGTTTACAGTTTGCAGTAGGAAAATTCGCGAAAATCGATAAGGTGTGACGAGTTTGACGGGTACTGACGGTGTGACGAGTTTGACGGGTTGACGGTTTGTGAAAATAAATCGTTGGTGTAAATTAAGTTTTGATGGTTCAGTGTGGTGTATAGGGGTCATTATAACATATTTAACGAGTTTTTGTTAACCGTAACTCATGCGGGAAAAAACTATTTCCTACCCTAAGCCAATGTGTTAGGAGAACACTATTAGAACTTTAGGGTTTCTTTGGGAGAACATGCATTGTGAGAAACAAAAAGGTCTTAAAATTTGAGAGCTAGATTTAGATTCAGCATAAGATACTTGATGAATGGGATGATAATTGATAAGTTTACAGTTTGTAGTAGGAAAATTCGCGAAAATCGATAAGGTGTGACGAGTTTGACGGGTACTGACGGTGTGACGAGTTTGACGGGTTGACGGTTTGTGAAAACAAATCGTTGGTGTAAATTAAGTTTTGATGGTTCAGTGTGGTGTATAGGGGTCATTATAACATATTTAACGAGTTTTTGTTAACCGTAACTCATGCGGGAAAAAACTATTTCCTACCAAGAAAACAAAAGATATTAAATTTAGAGACCTAGGATTAGTTTCAATCCACGATACTTATTCATCGGGGTGATAATCAATATATTTACAATTTACAATTGTTAAATTTGCGAAATTCGATAAGGTGCGACGGTTTGACTAGTGTGACGGTGCGACGAGTTTGACAGTGCGACGAGTCTGACGGTGAGATTATGTGGTTCTTCTGTTAAGACCTTTTTTAGAGATTGAATATGTATTCACAATGAAGATGGAAATATGACGAAAGTGTGACTTTTTGTTGAATTATGTTCATTCTTCATCTATTAATGCATTTTTTATAACACCAAATCTTATGGAATCGAACCAAACTTCTTTAAAAAAATTTCGAAAATCGAAACTTTTTTAAGACACTCTGATTTTTTTAACAAAAAACGAAACGGAACCGTAACAAAACTAGAACCCAACTGAATCGAATAATATACAGTACTAATATCGTACCAAAACCAGAACCCACCCTTAATGCATACTATACATATTGATATATATATATATATATAAATACTTATTCGTAAATCATATTGGAAAATAATATAATCTATCCTAACCTAATGTGCTACAAAAATTGTACTAAAACTTTGGGATTTTTTTTGGGAGAACATGCATTGTGAGAAACAAAAATGTGTTAAAAACTGAGAGCTAGATTTAGATTCATCGTAAGATACTTGATGACTGAGATGATAATTGATAAGTTTATAGTTTGCAATAGCCAAATTTGTGAAAACCGATAACGTGCGACGAGTTTGACGGGTACTAACGGTGTGTTGAGTTTGACTGGTGTGACGGTTTGTGAAAATAAATCGTTGGTCTAAATTAAGTTCTGATGCTTCTGTGTGGTGTATAGGGGTCATTATAACATATTTAACGAGTTTTTGTTATCTGTAATTCATGCGGGAAAAAACTATTTCCTACCCTAAGCCAATGTGTTAGAAGACAAGTTTGACGAGGATAATGGATTCATGAAGAAGAATCTTGATGTTCCTCTGGAGGCACCGTTACTTCTTGACGTTCCTCATGGATTCCCTTTCTTCCCTTTCGACCTTTGGTTTATCTCTTTGTTCGTTGCTTTTTGGAAGGTGGATCTGTCGATCCAAAGGCAATGTATGAACTTTTAACATCCTTTTTTCTTTTTTCGCATCGTTCGTTTACTTTGTTGAACCGACTCCTTAGGAGTAGCAGGAACCTCCTCATGCATTGAAAAAGCCACATTCTCTTCTAAAAAACGAGGTCTCAACTCGA